TCACCCGCTCTCGCCTGTGCAGGGCTCCGAGTGGAACGCAGCCAACCTGGAGGAGCTACAGCAGAACCGGTGAGTGGGGCCACGGGAGCCCCACCACGGGGCACGGGGCGTCGTGGGGTGTCCATTGGGGCGGGCCTGGGGATGTCATTGGGCACCCACCTGGGGGGGCCTGGGGATGTCTTGGGGCCCCCAACTGGGTGAGCACAGGGGCATCATGAGGCACCCAGCTGGGTGGCATGGGGACATCATGGAGCACCCGGTTCAGTGGGTGTGGGGTTGTCATGGGGCACCCAGCGGGGTGGTCATGAGGGCATCACGGAGCATGGGCACGTTGTGCTTACGGGGCAGCTAGTGAGGTGGGCACTGGGCATCGCAGGGCACCCAGGGGTGCACCAGCCAGAGGGTGGGTGTGAGGCCTTGCAGGGCACCCTTGGGAGGCCTCCTGGGGCTCCCACAGTGAGGGCATGGGGCATCAAGGGGTGCAGCATGGCACACCCAGCAGGGCACTCGCACAGCCCCATTCCTCTGTGCCCACTGCGCCCCTCGTGCCAGGGTGCCCATGTCCCCTGCATCTGCAGGGTCACCCACATCCTCAACGTGGCACGGGAGATCGACAACTTCTTCCCGGCGCTGTTCACGTACATGAACGTGCGGGTGTACGACGAGGACACGGCCCAGCTCCTGCCCCACTGGAATGACACCTTCCTCTTCCTCTCTCACGTGCGGTGAGCGTGGCCAGGCATAGCGGGGGACGCAGATGGGCATGGTGGGGCAGGGGGCAGCAGGTGACACAAGGGGGCTGAGGGGCACCAAGGGGCACGGCCTGGGGCTGGGGGGCAGAACTGGGGTGGGAAGGGGGCACTGGTGGGTGTATGGTGCCCAGGGAGGCAGGAGGGCACTAGTGGGCACTGGGAGCCCTGGGGACCTGGGTCCAAGGGCACTGGGAGCCCTAGGGGATGAGGATACTGGGGACACTGGGACTCCTGGGAGATGGAGTCCTTTGGGGACACTAGGAGCATGGGAGACCTGGGTCCAAGGGCACTGAGAGCCCTGGGGGATGGAAGCCCTGAGGACACTGGGAGCACTGGAGACCTGGGTGGGTCCAAGGGCACTGGGAGCCCTGGGGGATGGGATCCCTGAGGACACTGGGAGCACTGGATTCTTGGGTCCAAGGGCACTGGGAGCACTGAGGGACTGGATCCTGAGGATACTGGGAACCCTGGGAGAGGAGTTCCCTTGGGGACACTAGGAGCATGGGGGACCTGGGTCTAAGGGCACTGGGAGCTCTGGGGACTGGGGTCTAAGGGCACTGGGAGCACTGGATTCTTGGGTCCAAGGGCACTGGGAGCACTGAGGGACTGGATCCTGAGGATGCTGGGAGCCCTGGGAGATGAGGATATTGGGGACACTGGGACTCCTGGGAGATGGAGTCCTTTGGGGACACTAGGAGCATGGGAGACCTGGGTCCAAGGGCACTGAGAGCCCTGGGGGACTGGATCACAAGGATACTGGGAGCCCTGGGAGAGGAGGTCCCTTGGGGACACTAGGAGCATGGGGGACCTGGGTCCAAGGGCACTGGGAGCTCTGGATTCTTGGGTCCAAGGGCACTGGGAGCATGGAGGGACTGAATCCTGAGGATGCTGAGAGCCCTGGGAGATGGGTTCCCTGGGGACTCTAGGAGCATGGGGGACCTGGGTCCAAGGGCACTGGGAGCC